GAAAGGGTTTATAGAGTGGGAGATGAGGGCCTTATGGGAGGACATTTATGTTAAGCCAGGTGAGGACAGTGGATTTTACTCTGATCTTTGAACAAAGAAAAAAATCCACTTCAGGGTATGAGCTAGACATTCCCCCACCGCCCATCCTTTAGAGTATTTGTACAGATTAGGGTCATAGTTCATTGCTGACGGAGGTGTAACTCCAGGTGTGAGCATATTTCAAGAGACTGGTAACATTGTTGCTCCTGGGCATCCACACTAGAGAGCCGCCAGCAAGAATAGGAGCTCTTTCTATACGTCCTTTTGTACTGAGAAATAAAATGTGTTTTAAACCTGAGCTTTGTATTAGCTGTTCATTTGGGGAAGTTATCATTTATGATAGATTTTAATGGGCATAACGTCCAGAAATTTCATCTAGAAGACCATCAGTATTGGCAGAGGACAATGACCATTAAATGACTAGTCTTAGAAGATAAGTAATGATTCCAGACACTCTTTACTTTGTATCCAAACTAACAACAAGGATCCTGACATGCTTTTTTCCTACAAAATTCCCTGGATAAGAAGGACTTTTATCAGCCTGCTTGGAAACAAGTTTAAAATAAAACTTTGACATATGTTTGTAAAAAAAAAAAAAAGAAGAAGAAGAAGAAGAGGAGGAGGAGGGTGGAGGGGGAGGGAGGGAGGGGGAGGGGGAGGAGGAGAAGAAAGGAAAGTAGAGATGACATCTGGGTAATTGCAAAAGAAAAAATTTTCAGTAAGAACTGCCCCCCTCAGGCATTCTACTTGTGAAAACAAAATATTGACCACATTAAAACTTTATAAAAACACGAAAGTTATTTCCTTTTAGATTCCTAAGGATAAAATTAGAAAAAAATGAAAGTAAAAGTCTCTTTTTGTTTTCTGTCACTCAGAAAAATAAGAAATTAGTATTTACATTTTCCAAATCTTAGCAGTCTGGTCTCTGGGTTTCAGAAGTGATGTTGACGATATAACAGATGGTGGTTACACCGCTTGGGAGCCTCGAGGTCCCATTGCACAAGCCCTTTACAAAGTAAAAAATAAACTGAAATAATAAAGAATCCCTACAACTCAACAACAGAAACCAAACAATCCATTTCAAAAATGGGCAAAGGATTTGAACAGACATTTCTCTGAAGAAGACATACAAATGGGTCCATTAGCACTTGACAAGATGCTCGACATCACTAATCATCAGGGAAATGCAAATGAAAACCACAATGAGAAACCACCTCACTACCATTAGGATGGATACTACCAAAAAGAAAATAGCAAGTGTCAGACAGGATGTGAAGAAATTGGAAACCTTGTGTGCTGCTGCTGCTGCTGTACAAGGAAAGCAAAATCCTGCAGCTCTGGCCCGTGTGACTCTGGCTGAGAGTAACGAAGCCTAGAGAGGGGTCTGGAGCGCCTCCGGTGGGCGAGTCCAGGGATGCGCCAGGAGAGCCGTGGAAGCTCCAAGGCGTCTCCCACACACCTGTCCTCTGCATCTCTTCCCTCTGGCTGCTCCTGAGTTGTATCCTTTATAACTGATAACAAAGTGGAACGCATCTCTGAGTTCTGTGAGCCATTCTAACAAATTATTGAGCCCAAGCAAGGGGAAGTCCCTGATTTACAGCTGGTTAGTCGGAGTGCCAGTCCCAGCCTGGGACCTGGGGTTGCCGTCTGTGCTGCGGAGGCAGCCTGAGGGACTGAGCCCTTAGCTTGCAGGGCGTGTGGTGCCTGCGGGCAGTGCCAGAATTCAGGTGTAGGTGCCCAGTTGGTGTCCAGAGAGTCGGAGAACTGCTTCATACAAAAAAAGACCCCACATATTTGCTGTCAGAAGTGCTCTGTGTGCACAGGAAACAAGTTTTAATATTTTTCCATGGATAATGAGCGATTTTTTGCCCAAATTTTTGAGGGGAAAAATAAACAATGTGCATTACACATGGGTAGTACTAATTCTATATCCGTATAAATTTTTTTTATTTATGCTTACGTGTTAAAAGTGTAAATCTAGATAGTAATGACAATACACATATGCAAAATTACACCCTGGAATATGATGATCAGTTTTGTTTATAAATATGAAAAACTGAATTAAAAAATTAAAACAAAATATTCTTTCCTGAAAGTCTGGGCCAAAAACACAGATGTGTGTTAGTTATACACGGCAACAGATGGTCCGAGCGCTGTCTCAATGACGCGTCTGTACACCCATGTTCATGGCCGCGGCCACGAGGGAGAGCAATCCAAACACCCACCGAAGGGGGCCCACTGACGGGTCCACACAGTGTGGTGTGTCCCTGTGACGGCCTAGGATTAGCCTTAAGAGGGAAGGAAATTCTGGCACACGCTGTAACACGGATGAACCTTGAGGACATGGTCCTAAGTGCAGTCAGCCAGACACAACAAGCAAACACTGTGTGACAGTGATGTGGGAAGCTTTGGAAAACCTTTGTTCACCCAAAACCCCAGCCGCTCTGGGAGAGCGATAAGGCCGTCTGGGAAAAGCAAACGGCAGGATAGTCACAAGGACTGGGACTAGCACCCCCGCTGATAGAACTAATTTTCACATTTAGCCTTTGTACTCTGCTTCTGCCCCGTAGATAGAACTAATTACCACATTCCGCTTCTGTATCTCGCTTTGCTACGTAGACAGGAAGACCCCATAGGCTATATAAACCCAAGAATCCTTTGTTCGGGGCTCAGGATTTGGAGACTGACTCCTCTGGGCCCGTGCAGGTTAATAAACCTCGTACTCCAGAATCCCTCGGTGTCTGGTTGCTCCATTTACCTATAACAACAGCACTTAAATGAGTTGCCTCGGATAGTCCAGTTCACGCAGACAAGGAGAACGATGGTTGCCAGGGCGGATGAGGAGTTACTGTTTGATGGATACAGAGTTTTGGTTTGCAAGACGAAGACGTTCTGGGGCTTGTTCAAAAATGTGAATATATTTAACACTACTGAACTGTACACTCAAAAATGGTTAAGATCGTCAATTTTATGTGAATTTTACAATTAAAAAATTTTTAAGTAAATTGAAACAACACATCAGCACAATCATTCCTTCATTTGCTGCCCTGCCCACATCCCCCTCAGCTTTTAGAAGCTTAGAAAGTTAGAGCTGGTGGGGATTTAAAGCTCTAGCTGAACTTTATAGGTTAAAATAACACAAGTCACAATCCAAGGTGACCTGTGGAGGTCTTGGTGGGTTAGCAGGGAAGACTAAAAGGAAGTGAAATGGGGTACAAAGCAAGGGTCCTCAAAAACGTAGGCATATGCCCCACAGCCCACTGTGGGGGGAGGGGGGAGATGGAGGGAAAACAGCCGACAGGCACTTAAGATACTTTGCATTACAGGGGCAAGTGGGTAGCCATGCCTTTCCTGAAGGGAAGCTGTGCTACTACCTTTTCCCTACTTTCCTGAAGGGAAAAGGTGACTAAGTGACTCAGCACGTTTAGTGACTCATGCTGAAGTCCTGGGAGGTGAATGTCCTCCCTGGAAGTCCCTGTGTCACTGAGTCACTCTTGCCCCGACTAAAGATGGCAGCCATGAGAAAGTAGATGACACCAGGAACTGACCAATGTAGCTCATTGTAGGAGGGGCCGGAGATGAGGTCACTTAGGAAGCTCTGAGTCATGATTTAAATGAAAGGCGGGGGGGGGGGGGGGGGGGGGGGGGGGGGGGGGGGGGGGGAGAGGGAGAGGGAGAGGGAGAGGGAGGGGAGAGAGGAGAGAGAGAGAGAGAGAGAGAGAGAGAGGCTGGTCTGCCATGAGGGCTGAGAGAGTAGGTAGCAGCTGTGCTGCTCTGTAGTGAGAAGGGCAGCCTGGGAGTGTCAGCCATGCTGCCTGTAGTGAGGGAGGAGGTACGTCTGCTCCTCTGAACAGGCAGCCAGGAGGAAGGAGCCATGAGGTCTGAGAGAGGAAGCAGCAAGCAGCTGTGCAGTTTGTAGCCAGGTTTTGCCACGTGGCCGGGTGCAGTAAGGAAGGAGCTGGAGTAAGAGAGACCTGCTGGGAAACCTGCCTGGAGAAGGGCACAGCTGATGGTGCTGGGAATTTTGAGGAGTGGCCTAACCAAACACAGATTAGTGGGAGATGCCTGGTGATGCTGAGACTAAAGACTTTTGCTTCCCTGAAGGATGTACAGAAAAGCCACTTTCTTAGAACTTGTGCCTTCCCGGACTTCACCATGATCCAGTGTAACTCGGCATGTTCTTCTGAACAACCACACGGAGATCTGAGAAGTACCCCAGATCCTGAAGGAGAGGGCTGCCGTGGGAGGATGCAACTCTGAAACCTATGAGTGTACCTTCCAGAGGGGACGGAGAACTGTCTGTGCAGCCGGCTTAACAACAGATAAGGAGATGAGGAACTACTGGACTTGTTTTTGGCTTACAGCCTGGTGGGGAGCAAAGGCAGTGCTGGGTCTCCTGGGAGAGCCGGGCTCAGAGCAGGAGCGCTCTCAGCTCCCCCAAGGTTGGAACCCTGTGAATAAAACCTGTTTCCCTCCATAGTAATTGCTGGGTTGTGCACCAAGGTGCCACGTGCACAGGCCCCGTAGCTCGGGTTCTGAAGGGCTCTTGTCTCCCAGACGGAGGCCCCAGCCTGCACCACGACCCCATGGGGAGAGCATATTTGTTGATGGGGAGAGTAATGATGACTATCGCCCACTCTGGGCTCATTCCCAAACACCATGGATCTGGGAGGTCAGGCAGGCCTAGAAGGATAGATAACTTTGGTTAAAGTCCACATGATCTGAATTTCATAGCCCCCAGAGAAAACTTGGAGGGAGATGAGGAGAGAAATATGACCTACTTAAATGTTGACAGAATATTAAGCAACTCAATGGAACAGTAATATGTTCCATTGAGTTATTTTGTCATTTTTCCCAATACAAACCTTAAAAGGAGTATCACTCTTGAAGGCAGACTGAAGAACTGACTTTTTTTCTGCCTGCCTGCCTGCCATAATATCACACACAATACGAGGCATGCATATAAGTTATTTTTTATTTTACTTTGGCGATTGGAAAAAATATAAGATCAAATAAAAGCTAACAGATTATTGGCAGTTAATCAGGTAATTTAATAAAAATAAAAATGTCTGTTTAAACTGAAAAAAAAAAAAAGCTCTCACTGTCACTTTGCTGTGGCTGGGACCTTTGAAATCAAGGCGAAGGTGCTGGTAAGAAAGTAATCTCACGGCATCGACCTTGTACCGCCTCTTAAGTACATGCCGCAGTGGCGAACAGCGGAGGCGTGATCGACCACACAGGACGCCTAGAAACAATCCCTGTAAACAGCGGCTTATTTTGAGCAGATTCCCTTCTGGCTGGTAAGGCTTTGCCTGGACCCGTGTCTCAGGGCAACGACAGCTCACTGCGCAGTGAGTGTGAGGTAGATCCTCTTAGACATTTCTTTTCTTGCTTTCCCCAGAGGGAGTCCCGCACCTCAAAGGTGTGGGGACGTCACTTCCCCACATCCAGGAACGACGGCCCTGGTAGCCACCAGACCGCAGGTCTGCCGGCAATCCTGCCCCAGTGTCGAACTCTTCAAATCTGGAGGGATGTTTTCTTCGTCCACAGGCTGTTTAGGTTTTAACTGGCTGCTCAGAGTTAAAAAGGAGTATCTCAAGCCCCCTGCCATGCTGAAAGGAGGGGGAAAAAAAAGCATGAAAATAAAGAAAACTCCCAGCAGTCACCACCACCTTCACAAACACAGTCAGCCTAACTTGAGGGAATTATTGAGCCCCCTGGTTTTCCTCATATTACCCCTCTTATTTCGCAAATCTTCTGCGGCAGAGAAAGAAGAGTAAGTCAAATCTAATACAGAACCTTATTGAGAAAATAAGCACTTGGTTATCCCAGACATGGGATGCTTTTAAGGATAATAATGTATAGTTTCTAAGAAACTATACATTATTATCCTTAAAAGCATCCCATGTCTGGGACCCCAAAAGGCCTTTTACAAGTAACTCCGTCACCCCTCTCGGCACCCTCAGCACAGGAGGCTTTGACGGAGCATGAGTTTAACGAGGCCCACTGCACAGGAGGAAGACAGAGAATGCAGGGGACTTTTCTGTGAGGAAGACACATGCATTAAATCCAGACCTCAGCCCCCAGAATGTTAACTACTCCTGACCCCATGCTCTACAGGAGGGAGTAAGTCACAAAAACAGAAGAACTGAGTGGTTTAGGTACAATTACCTTAAAACCTGTCATGTCAAAACACCTATTCTTTCACTTATTCTAATCAGACTTAAAAATTCATATTTTGCTAAAATGAATTCATTAAAAAACCCCACTTACCAAATATTTAAGCCTATGAAGTTCGACACAGAGAAAATGTAGTCTCCACCGACTACCATCCCAATGTAGGCAATGGACACATTCTGCAGGAAAGGAGAGGACTGGTCACTTTAAAAGTAAAGAATTTAGGAGAAAAATATGATGAAACTGGAAACTAAATATTTTAGTTACTCTGCACATAGTAGGTGTTCATGGAATGTTGGATGGATGAATACAAATCTATTACATGGGCTTTAATGACACAAAGAAGTGAACCGTGGCACAACACACAGACGAAAACTGCACCCCGCACGCCCCTTCCGGCTTGTGCACAGGCAGAGGAAATGGGAGGGCGGGGCTGTGCTCAGTGTTCCAGATCAGTCTCTTTACCGTCACTGGGCGGCGGATGTTAATTACACTGATCCTAAACTTAACAGACTAGAGACATTTCATAAATTCCAAGCACTTCTCTGTCCAGTGCATTCTCAGAGGCCCCTGGGCAGCCAACAGACCGGCCTGCTGTGGAAGCAGGCAGTTTTCCCCACCGAGGAGTCATGTGAAGGGAGAAACAAAGCACTTGTGAGGGAGAACTCAGGACCCCCCTCCCTCTGTCATTTGTGAGTGGATTCAAATGCAGAGGCACACGCTTGCAAACACCCACACCAATCTATGAGTTTATCACCTTGTAATTGAGCATATACAGAGACTGAAACTGTTTTTCACAAGAATTCCCTTTCTTAGTTGGCAGATTCTCCCAGAAAACCAAAGTGTAGATGACAAGACAACTTTGTGAGTGCAGAAATTTGGCATTTTTTCAGTTTTTTTATTTCACATTCCCAGATCATCCTCTTCCCACTTAAAAATCATAATTTGTCTCTCCTTTTTAACTTAGCCAATCGTCCCTGTGTTTCACGCATTAAGGAGGTTGTTGGAAGACGGAAGAAATGATCACCCAGGCACAGGTGAGTATGTCACAAGCCTCCATTCCGACTACCGTATCAACAATAAGATCAAACTTTGGCTTCTACTGCAAAGATTGGGTTCACAGTCAAGTTCTCAACTCGATTATACATCCCGAGGCTTCACCCAGTTACCTTGACGGCTCCAACCACTGCTGTCGTCAGGGCGGAGTTGTAGTAGCTGCACAGCACCGCGGAGTACATCAACAGAAACCTGGGCGAGGGGGCAAACCCTGAGTGTGTGCCTGACGGTGCTGGGTAGTAACAACAATCGCTCAGGAAGAGTCAGCGAGTGCCCCCCACTCAGGCACTGTAACACTAAAAGGTTTTATGACCCACATCTTACAACATTTTTAACTCTGACCTTTTACAGGAAATTGGCCTAGTCAAGCATTTGCCGCACTTTCTACCTTGTGTCCTTTTCACTTTGTCTATCTTTACCATTCGTGTTTCTTTGAAAAGGAGGTAAGAGGAAGGAGATTTAAAAATGATCTAAAATCTTTCATTTGACAGCTCCATCACAACCGCCTGGTGCACCTGGAACACACAGCGATGCCGGGCGGAAGTTTTCTTTCGAGTAGTTTGAACTTGGCCTTGCGTGCAGTCTCACAGCCCCGCTGCTGACCCTCATGTACAGCCAGCCAGAGAACCACAGGTGTTAGAAATATCAGCCCTGCCTGGTGTGGCTCAGCAGATTGAGCACTGGCTTGGAAACCGTCAGATCACAGTCAGGGCGCAGGCCTGGGTTGTGGGCCGGGTCCTGGGCTGGGGACATGTGAGAGGCAAGTGATCTCACACAACAATGTTTCTCTCTCTGTCTCCCTCCCTTACCCTGTCTCTAAAAATAAATAAAATCTTTAGAAAAAAAATCAGCTAAGCAGTTACTGGCTTTGGACAAAGGAGATTGAAATGAATGGATCCCCCATGCCAGTGATACTCCTGTACCCCAAAGTTAATTCAACAGGTGTTCGACACTCTCCAGTATTTTGACACTTAAATTTGTTAACAAAATGATGGCAGAATTGTGACCAAGCCCCAGACAAGAATATATATACATACCCAGAAAAGAATCTACAGTCAGGACTTCCAGCCAAGATGGAGGCGTAGGTGGAAACACTGTACCTCCTCACACAACCAAGTTTATAAACAACAAATATTTAAAAACCAGAATGCAACCAAAACAGAGAGAAAATTAAACTGTACCAAAGTCTGACAACAACAAACCATTCATCCAGACCAGCAAGAGGGGCAGAGTCAGTGGGCGAAGATGGGTTGTGCAGGAAAAAGTGACCGCACCGACCCAGGCGCGCAGGCGGCGGTTGGTAGATCCCAGGTGGGGTGGCAACAGGCAGACCCGGTGAGAGCGCAAGGCAGCTGGCTGACGCCGTCACACATTCGCACAGAGATTAACCAGGCAAAGGAGCAAGAAGTGAGATAGATCGAGCAAGCCAGGGCCCCAGGGATGGGAGTTAAAGCCTAAAAACACCAATTGGAAAAACTTTCAGGGGAGGTGCCGGGAGAGGCCCCCAGGCTCACAGAGAGTTTGTTGGAGTCCCCCACAGGGTTCTGGAGGGTGCACAAGCCCACACATCTGGGAACTAGCACCAGAAGGGCCCAATTTGCTTGTGGGAAGCAGCAGAGGGGACCGAAATCTGAGAAAGACCAGAAAAAAATGCCATTGCTCCTCTCTGACCCTGCCCCCACATCCAGCACCACAACCCAGCCACTGGGTTGCCCCACCCTGGTGAACACCTAAGGCTCCACCCCTCATATGTAACAGGTGAGAACAGAACAAAACATTATGGCTCAAGAAGAAGAACAGCTCAAAGCCCCAGAGCCAATACTTCTAAGAGACCAATAGATAGCTAACCTATCAGATGCACAGTTCACAACACTGGTGATCAGGACGCTCACGGAACTGGTTGAGTTTAGTCACAAATTAGAGGAACAAATGAAGGCTTCACTAAGTGAAATGAAGCAAAATGCACAGGGAACCAACAGTGATGGGAAGGAAACTGGGACTCAAATCAATCAAGTGGACCAGAAGGAAGAAAAAAAACGACCAAACAGAAAACAAAGAAACAAGGATTCAAAAAAAAATGAGGAGAGGCTTAGGAACTTCCAGGACAGCTTTAAATGCTCCAACATCCAAATTATAGGGGTACCTGAAGAGGAAGAGGAATGGCAACAAGTGGGACAGTTATTTGAACAAATAATAAAGGAGAACTTCCCCAATCTGGCAAAGGAAATAGACTGCCGGGAAGTCCAGGAAGCACGGAGAGTCCCAAAGAAGTTGGACCCAAGGAGGAACACACCAAGGCACATCAGAATTACATTAGCCAAGATTCAAATGAAGGAGAGAATCCTACAAGCAGCAAGAGATAAGGGGACAGTCATCTACTAAGGAGTTCCCATCAGACTGTCAGTGGATTTCTCAAAAGAGACCTTACAGGCAAGAAGGGGCTGGAAAGAAGTATTCCAAGTCATGAAAGCCAAAGACCTACATCCAAGACTGCTCTATCCAGCAAAGCTTTCATTTAGAATGGAAGGGCAGGTAAAGTGCTTCTCAGATAAGATCAAATTCAAGGAGTTCATCATCACCAAGCCCTTACTATATGAAATACTAAAGGAACTTATCTAAGAAAAAGAAGATAAAAAAGATGAACAGTGAAAGGACCGCAAACTCACAGTTATTAAGAACCACACCTAAAACAAAAGCAAACTAAGAGGACAGCTAGATCAGGAGCGGAACCATAGAAATGGAGATCACATGGAAGGTTAGCAACAGGGGAGTGGGAGGAGGAGAAGGGGGAGAAGGTACAGAGAATAAGTAGCATAGATGGTAGGTAGAAAATAGACAGGGGAAGGGCAAGCACAGTATGGGAAATGTAGAAGCTAAAGAACTTATGACACATGGACATGAACTAAAGGGGGGCATGGGGGAGTGGGTGTGTAGGGTGGAGGGGATTGAAGGGGAGGAAATGGGACAACTGTAATGGTATAATCAATAAAACATATTAAAAAAAGAATCTACAGTCAGATTCATTTCAGTCAAGCAGTGAAGAAAATTAGCTTCAACCTAAGTCGGGTGCAAAATACCACCCACCTGAATCAGGTGATTAAATGGTAAAAAGGATTACTATCAAAACTTGTTGAGAATGAAACTGAAAAAATAGAGGAAGACAGAAGAGGTGTTGGATTTTAAAGCTAAATCCCAGAGAGAAGGCAGGAACCTGGATCTCCCACTGAAAGACAGAGGGAACCAGCCTCTAAGAAGGACTCAGCCTGTGCACCTGGTTAGGTAAATCCTGCAGAAATTTTAGCACTGGGTCTCGGGTCCAGGCCTAAATCTCTCACTGTTGCTAATAGAATGAGAACCATAAATCAACACAGGAACCACTTTTGGCCTAAGATATGTATCACCCGGTATGGTAGAGAAAAAAATTAGAGATAAAGTACAATACACCAAGCTTTAACATAAACTTGAGGAATAAACTCAATTACAATTTTAAATTTTGTAATTCTCGGAAAAATGTCTTTGTTATTAAGATAATCACAACAATTTGACAAGTTAGAGAAACCAACATCTCAGTCTTTGCAGTTTTAATTTGAAATGTGCAATTGATGTTAGACTTTCCCATTTCAATTTCATCTGAAAGGAGTAAGAAAGCCAAAGGAAATCGATGCGGAGGACTTGAATGCTGAAAAGAAGTGATTTACTATATTTTCAACTTTGGTTTACTAGATTTGAAAGAGTTGCTCAGGTGTGTAAAGCAACCAGGTTCATTAGCTTTGCTAAGACCCTGGTTATGGCTACAAATTACTGGGAGAAAAAGAAAAAGTAAATCATGTTTGTAAATGCGGTTTTAAAAGGTTAAAAATATTTTAATTCACTAAGTGGTAAATGGGACTAATCTACAGTAAATTAATTGTTTAGGAGATTTTAACCAGTTAAACTTGAAATAACAAACCATTAATCAAATAATAAAAGTAAAATTATTATATTTATACAAAATTAGTAGCTTTATAAATAGAGCAATAGCATTTAAATATTAAAAGCTTAACGAAATCTAAGTTTTAAAAATTGTTACATTTTTAATACATCCAACATTAACTTACAGCTCTACAGAACTACAAATAATCCTACTCACGCATAAAATAAAGATTTAACAACTCAGCCTGGTGTTACCGAGTGCCTGCTCCGCTGGTCCAGGGTCCTAGGAGCACAGTGTCACGGCACCTGCTCTGGAGGAGTTCGGAGGCTACTAAAATCATAGAGATTACAACTCAGGGTAGGGGACCAACCCAATTCAGGGAACACAGAAAAGCTCCCAGCAGGCTTCCTCAACTGCAGTGCAGCCTTAAACCCAGGACAAGCATGGACGTTCTTTATTTTTATTTCTGCTTAAAAATTCTCATTCCAGTGTTCCAATCATGCAGCATTTTCTCCATACTACATTTTAGGGAAACCATCTTGGCCTGCCTTCAGAATCCCAGACCCCCCTGGGATCTAAGGTTCCAATACCTATCTACCACAAATGTGGGCATCTAAGAAACTCACCAGCTGGGGTGAGCAGGGGAAGAGCACCCCTCTCTAACACCCAGGGGGAGTTTGAATTAGCGAGCAGTTCTGGGCAACAGATGGTGTCTAGACAGAACAGCTGCACTTCCTAGTTTAACCACTAGGTGTCCTCACAGAGGATGAAGATAAAACCACTAAGATCAAAGTAGTGTACTAATTTTTTTCTGAGAAACATAATGTATTTCTATATGTAAATAAGTACCTATGCAGACTCCTGGTGAAGACAAAGGTTCTAAACTAAAAGAACCTCTATGAACTTTAGTCCAAAGGAAACCACGTTACTTTTCACACTAAAAAGTCAAACTTCACATGATAGTAATTTTGATTTTAGCCCCTGCAGATGAATAAAATACAAAGATATTTAAAAGCACTGCAAATGCTCAGCAGCTTTGGCCTTCAGCATTTTAAAAATAATTTATCATCTGTGTACATTTAAAAAATAAAAGCATATATATGCAATACACATTTATTCAGATAGCAGATGCCAGCTGCATGTTTTGGCTGATAGGGCCCAAGAGATAGAGGTGCCCATGTGGACATGTGGACAGTCCTGGGCCAGAACCCCTGCCCGAGGTTTCCTCCTGTTTCTGTAAATGACACACTCATCACAAAAAGAAAAATACATTTACCTA